GCTGTGAGCACCCCCGCGGGCGATTCCTGCTTGCCTGTCCTGGCCTCACGGGAGCCGCTCCAGAAAACACAGAGTCCGAATTTCAAATCAAAAGAGAGTTTATTTTTTACCTGGCCAGGGACTGCCACCCACCACAGAGACTCGAGCTCTGTGGGAGGACAGCAGCTTCCTGTCCATCCAAGGAGAAAGCACAAAACCCCAACTCAGTGACGTGCTTATCACAGAAATTAAAACATTGATAATGGGACCGTGGGCTCTGGGCAGGACTCCAGTCAGCAAGCGAGCGATAAACAGAAGCTAAAAATGCAGAGCTCTGCGCCTGAGATGACCACAGTCCCGGGCTCAAGCAGGTGCTAGACAGTCACCCCCTGAACTTGGGTGGGGGTCGGCGGGACAAGAATCTACTTCAAAGTCACGTAGACCCCCAAGGGCACTCACACCCAGGGTGTAGCTCCCCATGCCCATGCCCAGGCTGCATCCTGAGTAGGGTTCAGGGTGTGGGGTACAAAGTGCAGAAAAACAAGTTTTTAAAATAAGAAAACAGCTTTCGTTTCTGTTTCCTAGAAATGGGTCATGCAGTTCTCTCTTCACAGGACAGTGACAAACTAAGACGGAGTTTCTATAGTCACATCATTTTACTTAAATGACTACAGTGACCCTGTTCCTGTAATCCCAACAAGGTGGGAATTGTTGCAAGTGACTAATGAGTCTCTACCAGAGCAATTGCTGTACACACTCAGTACTAGTGACTTATTTGATGCCTGCTTAAAACTACACACATTTTCATCTGTTGTTTTAATATCTATAAACCCTATGTCCTTTATCCTATGCACGGCTACAAGATCAAATTCCTATGTTAATCAATTTGATCATATTTATTTATAACTATGCTGACACACTGACACATCCTGTGACTTAAATCCTATGTTTTACAGTTACAGGATTCTTCTACTATTACGTAGGCTTATTCCTGATGAACTTATCTTATTATCACTTTTCTATGTTATCTTACCTTATTTCTGTAGTCTTTATGTCCATTGCATGTTGATTATTTATTCTATCTTGCCTTATACCTATAACTATGACTTATTGATTATATTGATCAGTTCACACCGTAACACTAGCAGGGTTCCCTGTCCACCTTCCGTGGCCCACCTGCACCTGGGGGTACTGCTCATCAACTGCTGACCAGCTCTACCTGGGCCATTCTGGGAAGCGTCTCTGCATCTACTGAGTAGCACAACTTGGAACCACCTATTCTGGGGTCGGAGCCTGATCCCGGTGGTCCTCACGAGGCCCTCCTCACAATTCTCAGCCCTGGGTCTTTATGGTTCTCTTGACCTCCAAAGACAATTACATTAGGGCCAATGATTGTGTGTTAGACCTTCCTTCTTCATATTTCTGTCTCCTGATTGGACCTGCACACAAAACCGTGAGTTTGTAGCAACCTGGGTCTTGGAAAGAATAGTGGTCTTTTCCACAGGCACCTATTTTCTGTGTGAGGCAGTGGCCAGCCCTTGTGCTGCCTCTGCTGGAACACTTCACTGAGATGAGACTTGAGAGAACCCCAGGTGTCCTGGCCCCGGCTGCAGGGACGTCAGGATGCAGTTTCAGTAGTGGTGTGCAGCTAAGGCTTCCTAATTCCACGTTTTCCCTCAGGTCACAGAGTGGTGCTACGCTTCTGAACTCAGTTCAGAGCCTCCTGCATCTCCAGGCATTCTGTTTAAATACCATTCTAAGCATAACAATTAAAACCCATTGTCTAACAACACGAAAAGTGTTTTCTTCTATCTTCTACAGTTTATTTTTATTTTTTTACTTTATCAAGATGGGGTCTTGCTGTGTTCCACACACTGACTTCTAACTCCTGTAAGAGCCTCAAGTACTTCTCCTGCCTCAGCATCCTGAGTAGCTGAGACTACAGGTGTGCACCAATGGGCCGGCTTATCGTCTGGAGTGTAAATGTCACCTGTGGAGCCTCTGCCAGTCACAGCATTTGATATATCTGCCAGCACACCCTCAAGTTCTGCCCTGAGAGGCTCACAGCTGCCTCCTGCACACCTGTAAGCAGCGCCACATGAGCTTATCATCACATTCCCAGGATGTGCCTGGCCTGCAGAGCACCTGTCCTGCATCAGCACCCACAGGGGCACCAGCCCAGGGAGACATTTCCTGTTTGAACAATTTATATTTTAGTAATTTGTTAGTTGTGCAATATAATTGGGCATTTTAATAAAAAACCCTCTTCCGTTGACTATTCTTTAGCATGTATTTCTCAATTAAACTGTGATGTATATACATGCATATGTACACATGTACATATACATGCCTACATACATACACATCCTCACCTCCAACTTTCAACTGGAAGGTAATAAAAACTTTGTAAAGTTCAACTAGTTCTTTCATTTGTTCACTTTGGTCCTGGGGATTGAAGCCAGGCCCTGGACATGCCAGATGCTAGGCGAGCTGATATCCCAACAATCACGCCCAGCCTCAAATGTTCAGTGGTAACCCTGACATGCAAACAAGGAGGTGGCACCAATGTGGGCTGGGACACCTCTACAAATGCACACACTTCTCATTAAACAGCTAGCACTTCTACTTGATTCATCTTCTTATTTTCTTCTTTTACTATCTTACTTTTTTTTTTCTTTTGAACTAACTAGGGATTGAACCCAGGGGGTGCTTTACCACTAAGCCATATCCCTAACCCTTTTTATTTTACTTAGGGTCTTGCCAAATTGACAAGGCTGACCTTGAACTTGCAATCCTCCTTCCTCTGCCTCCTGAGCTGCTGGGATTACAGGTGTGCTCATTATGCCAGGCTTCTTATTTCATTTTCTTGGGCCCACAGGCAGCTTCAATGTAGAAGGTTTTAGTTGACAACTGTCTGTTTTTATAAATTTACTATCTAAGACAATTTTGGGCCCAACAAGGTATGAATCCTTCTTGTTTCTTTTCTTTTTTTTTTTTTTTTGGTAGACACAATATCTTTGTGTGTGTGTGTGTGTGTGTGTGTGTGTGTGTGGTGGTGCTGGGGATTGAACCCAGGGCCTTGTGCAAGCAAGGCAAGCACTGTATCAACTGAGCTACATCCCCAGCCCCTAGACACAATATCTTTATTTTTTATGTTTATGTCGTGTTGAGGATGGAACCCAGTGCCTCATGCATCCTAGGCGAACACTGTACCACTGAGCCACAACCCCAGACCTGCCTTCCTATTTATTCAGTTTGAATTTGCTCTTCCTTGAACTGTCAGAGGAACTAAACTTCGGTGTGAGCTACCACATGCTCTCCGATGGCTGCCACCCACCGCCGGGTGCACAGGCACTGCCACAGGGGCCTCCACCCCCCATCCTCCTGTGGGAGGGTGGCCAGGGCTCTGCCTGCAGCACACCGAGGTGTGGTCTGCAAAGGAGGCCACGTCAGAGCCTGTCCTCTGGCATGGGGAACCTGGAATCCTGGTGCAGCAACCCAGTCAGCACATTCTTGTGGTTTCTTTCCAATAAAGATTTGCATCTATGTAGTAATGACTGAGTTAGAATTATGGCCTTCCCGTATTCATTTCACAGGTGGAAGTCTCCTGCATGAATTCTCTTGTGCTGCATAAGGTCTGAAATTTGTCAGAACACTTCGCAGTCCAGCACGGTTGCACACACCGGTAATCCCAGTGACTTGGTGGCTGACACAGGAATTACAAGTGTTAAGTTCAAGTTCAGCCTCAGCAACTTATCAAGGTCCTTAGTGAGACCCTGTCTCAAAATAAAAATAAAAAGGCTGGGGTTGTATCTCAGTGGTGAATCGCCCCTGAGTTAAAATCCCTAATACCAAAACAAAAATGCAAACCACGCTTCCCACTGTGATCACACTCCCTGGGTTCCCGCCCGGTGGCTTCTGACCAGTTCTGGCTGTGACGATCTTGCGTTCTTCTGCGTGGGGCCTCTGAAGACCCCGTTCTTGCACTCACAGGGTACATCTCCTGTAGGTTAATGGGGATCCAACTCAGAGGCGCTCTACCAGGGAGCTGCACCCCCAGCCCTTTTTATATTGAGACAGGGCCTTGCTACGTTGTCCTGGCGGGCCTCAAACTTGGGACCCTCCTGCCTCTGCCTCCGGAGTCACTGAGATCACAGGCACGAGCTCTGCGCGGCCCGGGCCTTCTGTTTTGCAGAAGTTTTGAGACTCAACACACTAGGTACGGCGTGAAGGTACTGAACACTTCCACTTCACATTAAGAAAGGTTACGGCGGTGTATTTTGCGGTAAAAGTAAAAAATATCCCCCAGCAGGCTCAGGAGAGAGCCACAGCCAATCCAGAAGGCGGGTGGAAGGGGTCCGCGGACAAGTGCACGTGGCCGGGGACCTCACTATCCAGGGAATGGACGCCCCAATGCCAGGCGTGCTCTGAACTGGAAGGACGTGTTCTAGCCAGAGCGCACGGCCGGCCCGGGC